GGACAGGGATTGAGGGAGGCACTTGATATAAATCTCTGGCTGAAGCCCTCCACTGCACCCCCCCCCCACACACATGAACAGTTCTTATTGTACACATCGTTCAGCTCACTTCACTCGACAGTTATCGAACACAGAGAAGCAATGAACATGCTTTATAGAAACCAGCACCAAAAAGGCTTCCTCACAAGGGAAGTTCATTCTCCATTTGCTTAAGAGTGAGATGTGGGTGGTGGTGGTGCACACCTTTAATCCCAACACTCAGGAGGCAGAGGAAGGTGGATCTCTGAGTTTGAGGCCAGCCTGGTCTACAGAGGGAGTTCCAGGACAGCTAGTGCTACACAGAAACCTTTACTTGAAATAACAAACAAACAGGGTGAGATGTTACGGAATCCAGACATTGCTTTCTGGTAATCGAAAAAGACACAGCCTCCAGACATTGCTGTCTTACACTTGCCACTGGGCATGTGCGATGACTTGATAGGACGACATGCCTGGACATCGCCAAGGTTGTTTACAGTGCCTACCTGCAGAACAGTAGAGGTCGAAGAGCTGAACTGTAAAACCCAAGGCTTTACCATGACAGGTCTGTGCCAGAGCCAGAGAGGAATCAGAAACCAGCTTATCTTAAAATGGGGACTGGGCATTCTCTCTTATCACACATAAAATCTTCTGATGGGACAGAAGTGGAGAATTGTAGGAGTTGCTGATAATTCATGAGAAGCTAGAAATCTAGACTTTTATATGAAATATCCTAATTTAAAATGACAGCAAATAATTAAAAAACAAATAATATTGGCCAAACAACAACAAAAACCAAACAAACAAAAAAACAGGTCTGTGATTTAGGTACAGCTCAAAGTGGAGCTTTCCTAACTTCAATGATGAATTCAAGAGCAGTTAAGACAGATGCCCACGACTCAGTGGTTTGCAAGTGACTGCATCACTAATGTACATCATGCAGTGAAACTTTGCTTAGAGCCTGGGAGGGGCCGGAAAACATTGAAATTCCTGATTGTCCTCTACCGCAGCAGAATGTTTGATAAATGCCAGAATAGCCCACGTGACTCAAGACAGTTTTTGGGGCAATGAGGCTGAAATGTTTCAGTCAGTGAGTAGGTCTATTCCACGTCTATTATGAACATCACTTCCCGTTAATCAGGCCCCTTACCTGTGCTCTCCCGAGAAGGCCAGGCCAGTCAGTGCTTGGTGTTCGATAGACTTTTGCCATAAGTATTGTTTTTTCCAAAGGCCCTCATACTCTCTCCAGCTTCAGGTTGTAATCTCACATTTGGGACGGTAAAAATAGAAGACACTGAAGAGAGAATGAAAAGTTCTGCTTACATATCTGTACACATGTTGACAACATTTTATTTAAAAGAAAATGGAGATTGCAAAGCAGTCTGCATGTCCAGCATATGGAACACTGTGGTATGTGTTGGCGTTTGAAATGCCAGTGGTCAAATGCGCACACACAGCTATATATAAAATTCCATGCGGCGTACACATGTGTACACACACACACACACACACACACACACACACACACACACACACACACACATGTTTGCACGAGACAAGTCTTTGCCATTCTTTCAGTCACTCATGACAGAAGCAGTTTTTTACTCTCACATTTCCTGGGAATTACAGAATCCTGCATCCCATACATCAGAGTAGAAGGAAAGGCTTGCCTTGGGACCTTCTGACTGGGGGAGACAAAATAAACAACCAAGTCAATCTAATATTAACGGTAAAAGTTACGAAGAAATAGAGAAGGAAAACTGGAGGTTGGAGGAAGAAGGTCAGAGCTGTCCCTGGTAGAGAAGGACTGTTTGAGCAGCCATGTGCAGGAGAGGGCAGGAAAACCTGAGGAAAGCAAGCTCAAAAATACGTCAAGAGGAAAAGCCCGAGCTGACTTTAGGAAGGCAAAAGAAGTGGCAAACCAGCCAGACTGCTGTTGTGAACACAGAGAGTGACAAGTGAGCTGAGGACCGGATGACTCTGTGGAAGTGTGAGACAAAAGCAGAGGACACAAAGATCACCCAGAAAGACGGTGCCGCCATTTATTCTCAAGGGCAGCTCAGAAGGAGCAAGTCGGGATGGAAAGGTTATGAGTTTGAGTCTATTAATTCTAAATTTTCAGTGTCTACGACAGAATATGAGAGTCAGGGACGCTGGGATGAGGCACGGGACCTTAGGAGCTGTGTTTGGATGATATCGAAATCTCGAGACTGGATGGAATTACCCAGCTCTGGGAAGTGAGCCCGACAGGAAGGTCTGAGGAGGATGCACCGGAACACTGACCGTGTGCCTTCAGGCCGGCCTGGCAGGAGAGAAGAGTTTGCAAAGGGAAGTTCTAGGAGGAGAAAGTAAACCCTGAAGGGATCTTGTCCAGGAAACCAAGCGAAGGAAGTGTTAGCAGGAAGAGGTGGCAGACAAGCGTGTTCAATTCCGCTGACAGGTCAAGGTGACAGCCAGGAAAACCCCCAAAGAGAGCAAGAGTTATGGCTGCCTAGGTGGGAAACATTCAAGACACAACAGGAAAAGGAAACAGCAAAGCTGTTTAAAATGGGTGTACTGGCCAGCACGGTGATGCAAGAGCTTCATCCCAGCACTAGGAGGGCAGAGGCAGGCAGGGAGCTCTGTGAGTTCAAGGTCAGTCTATATAGTGAAACCTTGTCTCAAAACAAATACATTTATTAATTAATAAAATAAAAAATAAGCGTGCTTTCTACATTCATAAGAGGATGATAATGATACTACATAATAGCATATTATGTTACGTTGTTAAGGTGCCATGGAGGGCCATGAGGGTAAAGCTACAAATATTAGATCTGAAAAGGTCCTTCAGGACTACCATGCTGTCCTCAGCTTGCTCTCCAAATCAGAAGTTGGAAGCACAGAGGGATGAAGGCACAGGTCCATAGTTGCCTGGCCAGGACCTGTGGAGCTGAGCTTACAGTCTGGGGGTCTGATTCCCAGCTCCGAGATCGCCACACTGGACCAATTTGCTGGCCTTCTTTTAGGAGATTTGAGTTTTATGAATTAGCAAATGAATGTAATAAAATCAAGGACTCTGTGCTGTGAAGTATATTTTGTTCATTTACTTTGACAAGGATAGTTCAGCTTCAATTATTTATGTAACTTGATAGTATACACAGGAGAATGCCCCATGGTGTGCTTGAGGAAAGTAATGAATTTCTTCTAAATCAACCCTCTATTTATTTCCTGCAATTAAATCTCTGTGAAGAAGTAGAGCAAGGCTGTTGGGGTTTGGGAATATGAGGGAAATGACACTGTCACCATCCTTGGTCAGCTCTAACTGCCAGACAGATCCCTAGGTAATCGTACAATCACTTTTGCGTGATGTGTTTATTCTGTTTCTTACTTTGGTGACACAAATACTTCACTTCTACATTTTCTTATTACGTAACTACAATAAATGTTCGAATGTACTTCAATGACCATTTTGAGAATTCAGCTGAGTTTTCTCACACCACCATCAGGGCTTGGCCAACCATAGCACATGGTCACTTAGACACTTCCTACCTGGTGAATCCAGATCAGCCTTATAAGCCATATTATCTGCTCTCTGGTGGTCATTTCCCTATGAGGCCCAACCAGCTCCACTGATTCCATTGATTTCCACACCCATGTAGACTGTACACCCATGGGGTCTGATTAATCAAAGCACATCAAGGCTGGAGACCAATATTCCCCATTCCCCTTTTAACTTGATTTCACTTTCTGACTCAAGTATCTCTCTCTCTCTCTCTCTCTCTCTCTCTCTCCCTATATCTATCTATCTATCTATCTATCTATCTATCTATCTATCTATCTATCTATCTATCTATCTATTCTGTGGGCATTCCTCTAAAAAGTGCTCTGAGCCATCACAGACTAAGAGCTTTGTGGCATGAATTGTGTCCCGTTCCAAGCTGATGTTAGTGCCCCAGCCTCACTGTGTTGGTGTCTGGGAATGGGACCTTTGGGAGTGATGAGGCTTAGGTGAGCTCAGGAAGTGGGTGGTCCTCATGAAGGGATTAGTAGCTTTATAAGAAGAAGAACAGAGAAATGTTTTTTCTGCTCTGTGATGACCAAGCAGGGTGGGCCTCTGCCAGTAGTGAGGACAGCCCTTACCAGGACCAGAATCCCCCAGCACCTGCATCTTCAGTTGTCATCCCTGGAACTGTGATAATAAATATCTATCATCTCAGCCTCCCACCCTAAGCTGTTTCCTCCTGAAAATGTGAGTTGAGCAGGAGAGCTAGGTGCCTGCCTGGCAGTGGTGAGCCAGCACCCCACTTGTGGGCACATGCTTCTGCTGGTGCTCAGCACTCCCTGGAAACTCCCTTGAAAGGGAAGGCATGAGGGTTCTGTTGCTGCCACACATTCTGCCATTTGCCAGACAGTGCATTTTACAAAAATCTGCACTAATCTGGAGTTTAATTTGAAGAATCTCGAGAATTTCTGAGTACAGTCAGCCGAATGCTAACTCAGACAAGAGTCACACAGCCTAATTCCCAAAGTCACAGAAGTCTGGGGATTCTTTGTTTTGGAAACATGTTTACAAGGGCAGCCACGTTGTTCTAAATGGAAATGACTATAGTATTTAATACTGGGATTGTCCTTTCTTGCGAATGGATTTATCCTTCATAATGATTATCTTCTAGACACAGAAATAGCATTTCTGTAACTCAAAATTGTTACCGGAGGCATTTAGTAGAATCTCGCTTTAAAAATATAATGATTTTTCATCTTTATTCTCCCCCCTTCAAAAGGTTTCACTGCTCCTGATGTTTAACGTTATGCAGAGACGTGTTTCTGCCAATGAATATCGCCTTATGGTTATGCTTCTGCAAATAGCCTGCTGTGAGCTGATAAAGGGATTAATGCAGCCAAAATTCTTAATCTGTGAAATTACAAATTAAATTCTCATATTAAAAATACCACCCTGAGGTATTTTTTGTGGTTTTAATTCCCCTCTGGTGTTCTGCATACATTGTACTTGTTAATGACGGGGACAAGGCTGTCTCGGTTGGCAGTCTGTTGCTCAGTGATAATGTGTAGGCATTTACTCCCTTACAGAAACTGGATTTAACCACTGGCTGATAAACTAAGTGGCAAGTGGGTAATAAGTCCATATTAACAGGAAAGTACTACTACAGAATTCAGAATTCACAGACCCTCAAAATCTGGCTTAAACTCAGTCATCAAATCGACTGGGATTGAGATGTCGCCAAGGAGGGGTGAGATCAAGGTGGAAGTTCCACTGCGTGGGGAGAGCAAACCCCAGCTGTGAAGTTCAGGGAGCCATAAACTAATATCCCAGTTGTACTTTTTGTCTTTCCCAGTATAGGGGTATTTTGTTTTTTCATAGGTTTTAATTTCTTTTAAAGTTTGGAATCACTGCTATAATAGGTGGTAGATCTTTAGAAAGGAAGTAAGATGGATGATAAAGGAAATATAGACTAGGAATAATTGAGATATTAATGAAGATCTGTAAGCATAAGGAGAGTATCAGGTCAATACATCTATAGTTACCTTAGGGCAACAAGAAAATGGATAGAAATAAGTGATATCTATCTATCTACCTATCCACTCACGTATATAATATATGTACATACTTTATATATGTATATATATGCATATAATTTAGGTTAAGAAGGCTCAAGGGAGTTGGATTTAGTTCCAAAATAAAGGGTGACTGTGATTCTTGCTATAGAGAATCCAACACTGCAGGGGTAGTCAAAAACTCCTAGAGACAAAGGAAGTAACTTCATGTCTACTCTAAGTGATGTATGTACACGAATTAATAAGTGCATTATAAATATTTATGCATCTATGCAGTATGCTATTTTTAAGGCAATCATGAAAATATGTTAAGAAATATCTCTAATGGGTCTTTGGAAAGAACATATCATCACTGAGTAAAAATATTCCTACTGCTGCCACAGTGTTTTTCAAAATTTCACAAGAATTCTGTTTCACACTTGGGAAGAAAGCTGAGATCCACCCAGCCATAAATCCTTCCCCAAATACTTTAAATGTAATTGAAGAAGCCTGTGCAAATATGAGCAGTTCTGTAAAAACAAAACAAAACCCACCCAGGAACAGTTTTGTTTTAAAAAGATCTAGAGAAGAGCTGTCTGTACAAATACCACGAGCATGTGTAGTTAAAATGAATTGCATGTCTTCAGTTCTTACATGTCAGCTCAGTGCATTAGCCGATTGCCAGCTCTGTTCTCCGGCTCACTGCCTAACCATGCTCTTTAAGGCTATTGTTACAACCAAGATGGCCTCTGAAAATCAAACAGAAATGAACCATTTTTCCTCTGTGTACTGTAGCCAGTTAAAATAGCACTGTATGCAGAAAGCACTAAATATGTAAATCATATTTTCCTTTGCCTTTATGACTGCTCAGATCATTTTTTGGACACACACATAATCAAATACAAAGATGTGCAGCTGCAGACTGCAGAGTAGAGATAGCAAAAAATGAATCCATTTTCTTTCTGTGTCTGGTAAGCTAGCAATTGAATGGCAGGACTCCAATAAATATATATACACAGGATCTCCCTCCCTCCCTCCCTCCCTCTCCCTCCCTCCCTCTCTCTCTTTCTCTCTCTGTCACACACACTCATAACGCACACACATATACATAACCTTATGTTTATGCACACATGAAGGCGCCCATCTGTCTATATGCATGCTACATATTGATGACAAAGTGCTTTGATTAGATGCTACAGATGTGTCCTACTCACTATCAGTCAGCTCCCATAGCCGCGGGGGGAGATCGCTGAAATACTCGTGGCTCAAGGCGGCCTGTGCAGATAGCCTGTTCTTTGGGGAACACTGTAGAAGCTTGGAAGCCAGATCTTCGGCATGGTTTACATAGCTGAGCCTAAAAACACAGGCAGAAACAGAGAAGTCAGACCAAAGAAGAAACCTACTAAACAGGACCTCAGGCTTATGCCATGTTTTATGTACTTGAGGTGACTCCTGGCCAGGAAAACAACTTCAATTACCTCCTGAAATAAAGAAACCAACTGCATATGGGTCCTTCCAGTATGTTACATTAAACCGACCTTTTCTCTAGATAGCCTAAGTATTGTTGACTGAAAATATTTTGACTGTAAGCAAAGTACTGATTATTTCAGAATGGATGAAAGTAAGTCCAGGAGTAGAAAATTAGAGAAGGCAGTTTATCAAGTCGCTGCCAGCACTTACTCAGAGAATCTTTGTACAGCATGCACATATGGATGCATTTATAGGAAATTAATACCAAATAACTAGGAGAATTAAAATAGAGCTGCTATTAAATTCTCTAGTTACTAAAATTACTTTTCCTCTAAGAATTCATATTTTCTTGCCTGAACTATAGAATTACTGAAGCGAGTGTCCTGCCAAATGCCAGCCATTCTCTGATACGAGCCTCCAGGTTAACAAACAGATATGCTTAAATGATATGGGGCAGAATCAATTCAAGATGACCTTTAAAACAACAGTAGATAGAGGATATGTGTCTCAAGATTATTGGAGAAAAGGATAGAAGCACAGCCTTTGATGTGGTATAAGCCTTCCAACGGGTGGCAGCCATGCTCAGTCAGCCCAGCTTTGCTTTTCATGGAAACTATTCTGCTGGTCAGGGCAATCAGACATGGATAATTAACATAACACTGATGATACCCCCTTTACAGAGAGGAGAACATATGTCAGGCACTTTCCCAGGCACTGTTCCCATTCTCGTATTCACAGTCCAACAAGGAAGCCAGCCCCATTTGACAGTGTGGAGAGTAGGTAGGAAATGGTGATGGAATGCTCAGTGAGGCAATCCATGCTCTCCAAAGGCTTTTAGCCACGGATCCCTGTGTTTCTGCAAGCAGGGCTAACTGCACCGACTTTCAGAGGCAGCCAGGCGAGGCTCAGGGCCAGGCTGCTTTCGGAATATTTTTCAAAGTCTTGAAGGTGCCGAGCATGCCGTTAGCAGACAGATGCCCTTCCCTAAGCACTAGCATGGCTCTCAAGTATCTCTGTAGTCAGAAGGCGAAGCTGCTAGGAGGGGGCCGTGGAAGGGCACAGGGGGTGATAGACTTCGGAGAGGAAACAGCAGAACACGACAGCTCTAGGAGACCTCGCTAAACCTTCCCATCTGAAGGCTTCAGGAATGGATCTGCTGCTGCAATGGCTGTTCGTTTGTCTCTTTGTTTCTTTCACTTACAGATAGATCCTTGGATTGGTTTTAAGTGTCTTTGGCTGAGAGACATTTGTCCATAAGAAAAGGAGGCATTCTTAAAGCCCTTCTTCTCTCCCCCTTACAGACAGTCCAAGTCACCAACCTGTCTCAAAACCTTCTCATGCTTACAAAGGTGCCATTAATATTTCTATAAGTCAAGTCTGAAATAGACAGACTTCGCAATAAAGACACAATTTTATTGAAAGTACTGTTTACATGTTACCATAGCAAACATTCCATTCGCATCAATTTTATATCACTTTGATAAAATAGAACAATCAAGCCACATTGGAATCAGATCTGAGTTTGGGGCCTGACACAATTTGGTACAAATCAAATAAATAACATTTATTAAAAGAAGAAAGAATGTCTTCAATCACCCCAAACCCTATGTTATCATATTTTGTATACATAAAGAAACTGGTGATAACAATATTTGGTATGCCAGTAGCCAACATTAAATTCATGACTGTAAATGTGTAAAATACAGAGCAATGCACACCATTTCTTTCTCTTTCTGGTTTTCTGAGATAGAATCTCATTTTGCAGTCCAGGCTGGTTTGTCATTTACTTATGTAGCCAATGCTCGTCTTGAACTCATGATCATCTTCCTGCTTCAGCTTCCCAAAGTGCTGAGATTACATTACATGAGACATGAACTACCATGTCTGGCTTCACCCATGATTTCTGATCTTAATTATCTCATCTAAGGAATAAAATAGATGAGCCATGTGAGTTGGCAGTCCCCCACTTCCGAGAGCTCTGTGTAGTACTTGAGTACAGCTTACTGCTGTGGAGAATTATGTGCTGACAATTGTGCCTTTGTTTTTGCAGAAGATTGTTGATTACATTTAGATATGATGAATTGTACCTAAATGTAAGGAATACACACATTTAAGACAATCTCATTCTTCCCATCTAAGTTAACTGTATTTTTAATGATGTCTATGAAATAAATTTTGGTTGTGATATCAAACTTATGTGCGAAATTAAATGCATAAGTAAAATTCTGGCATGGATATTTTACTACTTTCTCTATTATATTTCAAGAGCCAGCTGTGTCCCAGTTTTCCCCATGCATTTTTAGTACCACAGGTTTGGTCATGGGCTCTTCTGGGTTGTGTGACATATCATACTTCGGGGAATAAGTTTTACCTGAAGCCATCTGTTTACCTTATCAGAGTGCTATCACTGTGGTTATTGAACTTCTATTACAATGGCATATTTTTCTTATCTTCCTATAAACCCTTAATTTTTTATTTTATGCTGTACAAGGCTGGTTATTAAATGTATAACATTCTAGCAATGTTACACCTCACACATAAAGTAAGACTTTCAGCCTCATATGATTTTTTTCTACATTTAATTAGGACATTCTAAGCTACAGTCACATTTTCCTCTCATTAATTTAATGACTGCATGTGCCTTCAGATTAGTAATCTCTGATACCTTTTTCAATCTGCCATATATACACACACACACACACACACACACAGCTAGGCTTAAATTTCATGCACTCAAGCAATACCTGTGTCTTAAGAAGAGTTTAGTCTATTCATATTTTTTTGTTTTAAAAAGAGTTTAGTCCATTCATATTTTTTAAAGTATTGGTACATTTAAAATTGCTGCTGTCAGGGTGATTTTGCATTGAATCTTATCTTCCTATGCCTTTTTCTTTTCCTACCTTCTTTCAAATTGAATTTGAAAATTCAGCGTCTTCTACCCTCTGTTTTATTATATAAAATATTTAAATGCTCTTCTGTGTACTAGTGGTTACTCTTATCTCTCTTTTTCTCTTTTAAAAAAAGTGCCATTATTTCCTCAGATATTTAAGATATTGCAGTAAATTTTCATAAGATGAAAAATACCAAAGAACCTGATTATAACCACACATCTATGACTCAAGTGACATCAGTATACATTACAATTTTATTGATTATGTAATTTATAAAATATATTAAGTTATCTAGATCTTCTGGCATATAAAGTATTAAATGTATTCTTAATTCATTAGCAGAATCTCTTTTTTTTTTTTTTTAAAACAAATGAGGTTGTAAAGAGAAGAAAAGAGAGCACATTTGCAACAAGGAAATTTGGCAAACAACTTTCAATAGGTATGAAAAATATTTCATAGAACTTAATAAATTTTTTATGGTTAAGAATTATTGCTGGTTGTGGTGGCACATCCCATGGACGGTAGGCTATACCAAAGAGGCAGAGGCAGGAGTACAAGGCCAGTCTGAGCTACACTTTAAAAACAAGATGGGTGTGGTGGTACACATTTTTAATCCCAGTAGTTGAGAGGCAGAGGTAGGTAGATCTCTGTGGGTTGAAGGTAAGCCTGGTCTCTATGTGAGTTCCAGGCAAGCCAGGTGAAATCCTGTTTCAAAACGAATACATACAACCACTGAATATGCCTACCTTTAGAAACCACTTAAAACTCAAAGTCATATATCCTGGAAAAATCAAATATATTTTGCTAAAAATACTTAGTAACTCACTCCAACTCTTTCTTCAGCCCCAAAGGGCAAACATTACATGAATTTATATTTTTTTGCCTGAAATAGTAAAGATGCATGCTTCTACATAATGTGGACTTAACATGAACTTTTAACTAGAGATTTGTGATTTTTCAAAATAGTGGTTTTTACAACAGCACAAAATAAAATTTATAGAAAGACATTAAGAAACATTAAGACTTGGACCTTAGCCAACAAAATCAATGGCTAAACAATTCTGTTGTGCTTTAAACATGGGAGACGTGAACGAAGAACAAACGGAGAGAGCCAGTACAGACCCTACTGCCTGTGTCTGAAATGACTGAGGGGAGACTGGCAGCTAGACCACTGTTCATATTCCACAACTCCAGTTCTGAGTGACGATGAAAACCCAAGGATGCTGCTCAGCCTTCATTCACCTAATCTCTCTAAGTGGTTCCTATAGTGGCGAGATTCTGACGGGGAACAGCTTCAGAGATGAGAGCCAGCTGATACAAATGGCAAGCACACCTTCGATGCTGGACAGGAAGGGAACGTACTCGCTGAGCTGGGATTCCTTCGAGCTTGAGGCCTGTAACACTGCCTATCAACAGCCCACAGACGCTCCGCTGGGCTTATGCATAGCGTGTGGTGAAGCTGACCCTGTCTCCTTTCATTTCAAAGGCAGAAGAAGGCCGTTTTGCTGGCTCCCGTACTTTTTTCTGTGCCGACTGTATAAGTGTGCAGTTGTCCTTTAGGACAGTACTTCCACTGCAAATGTTAAGTTCCAATTCTCCTTAGTATCCAGAACTTCACTCCACCTTCAGTTAACACTGCAGTAGCAAACAGTAAAACCCTCCCAAGGTCTGCGACCCCGACAGTAAGACAACCAACAGTTTTCTACGTCACGGCCTGCCATCACCCGTCTGATCAAAGGCCAGTCCTGAACTGGGCACCTTCCCTCTCAGGAAAGCAGCCTTAGCACTTGTTTCTCACATTCTCACATCATGGTAGTGTAACATGAATTGCTAAACAGTCTTATTAATAAAAAATTAAAAAAAAAACGGAGCCAGATATTGGGGTGAAAGCTGAAAGATCAGAGAAACAGAACAAGCCAGCCATGTTCTTACCTCTATGAAATCCTCAGCCTCAAGACAGTGAGATTCTGTTTCCTCATGCCTTATATACCCT